TACATTCATTCATATATCAACTCTTTGACAAATTTGGGAAAAAGCTCTCACTAGTTCATGATCTTTTATTGTATTTCATCTACACTTTTCAAAGTGTCATTATTGAGAAATTTCATTCTACTTGAATTGAAACATTAGAAAGAGAGTTTTTCTAAGTAAAATGCAACAACTCACTATTGTAGCAAGTATTGTTGTTGTGTCAAGTTTTGAGAATTGTACTACATTAGCAAGCAACTAATGAAACTTGTAATTATAGTTAAAAATCTCAAAGGTGATCTTAAGAACTGAAAGTAGGCCAAGTGGTTAAGCTGAACCAAAATATATCAATTGTATCAAAGCTTTTCTTCTTAAATCTCTTAGAATTTTCAGACTCCATCTTGTTTTCGTTTCTGCACTCTCTTGAGTTGATAAGTTCAAAAAAATTCATAAACACCAAATTTACTCTTATCCAACACAAACTATTGTCATATAAAATAGAAATATCTTTCTATAATTAATTTCTATGGGTAATTTTGAAGATGAGAACTTCAAGTAAAAATTTCATTTAAACTATGCTAAACACTTGGCTAAAGTGCATTTTTAGTCCTTTAATTTTATACAAAATTTTATTTTCATCCCTTATTTAATTTTATAAAATGTCATTTACAGTGTTTTAACAAAACATTCAAACTTTTATAGGACAAAACATTCTTAAAGACGTTGACAAATTAAGTTTATTTTTAAAAATAAAAATAATTGACAAAAATTAATTATTTGAAACTAACAATGTTAGAGTTAGAAAATTAAAAACTGAGATACTTTATAAAATTTAAAGATTAAACTGAAACTTTATATAAAGTTAAATGACCAAATGTATACTTTAACCTAAATTCTTTTGAAAGATTGATAGTTTGGTCTCAGAACATTGAATTAATGATAATTAAGTCCTGACAATCTTTTTTTTTTAATAAGTTAAAAATATTAATCCAAATTATTACAAATTCAAGAATTTCAATTGCAAAAAATAAGTATTTAAGTATCAAATATAACTTTTAGATTATAAATTAAATTTTTATTTATAACTATTTGAATTTATATTTACAAATTTTTTCTAAAAAAATTTATCAAGACCTAATTATTATTAATTTAATTTTTTAGGTCTTGATTGTTATTCTCCCATTACTCATTTTTGTTCACGGTAGTATGGGAAATTAACTTAATCATCAAAACTGTGGCTCTCGCGACCGCGGGCCATGGCTGACAGATTGGAATCTACTTGTGGGGGTAATGCAGGCAATAAAACTAGGCAGTGGGCACCGTACTTTAGATCCGACCAACTTTTCAATGCATCAAAGGCTCCCTAAAACATGTGGCCACCAATTTTTTTTTTATAAAAGAAATTGTTTTATTCAGTCATCTTTACTTTAACCATTCCATATTGCATAAGATATCACAATCTTCATTTTTTTCTTATAAACCTTTCATATAAAGTGATCAATAAAGTGATAAGAAAGTTAAAAGAAAATAAGGAAAAAATACACAAGAAAAGAAAGTCACAAAAAATATGGCCGGCAAAATGACAAGAAAATCAAAAGAAGATTAAAAAAAAGAAAAAAAAAGAAAAGCCAAGCACAAAAAACAAATTATTCAGGTCAATTAATCTAAATATGATTAAGCAAACCACCATCTTTCAAGAAGTCTATAAATAAAAAAGACTTTTCCATATAAAAACATCGCATAGAACCCCCCTTGTAAACTCTCACAATTTTGATTTGTCTAACATAAGATATCACAATTTTGAAAAGAAGATTAAAAAAAAAATCTCATCTCAATAATTGTAACATGAATCACAAAAAAAAGATAAAAGGTTTTTTTTGCCTAAAAAAACAAAAAAAGATAAAAGTTGAAAATAATAATTTTTGCAGCTCTTTCCGCTTATCTTGGCAGAAAGAACAACGATCCCCAGGAATTTTGAAAGAAAATGGATGTCTTGCACTTTATTTATTTATGCATTTATTGGTGGAGACGTATCTTTTACTTCATACATATATATGATAAAAAGACAATTTATTAAGATGAAACATTAGTCCCGTACAAACAAAAGCACAATCCAAAACGCATTGGACCCAACACGGAAACAAAAAAAGAAAAAGACAGAACATGAAAGTAAAGATTAAAAAAAAAAAACAGAGAGAGGGAGAGGCTCCTTGACAGGTCCACATCACTGACACTTTAAAAATATATATATATATATATATATATATCTCATAGCCCCACTTACATCTTTGTTTTAAATAAAATAATCAATGAATCTCTCACATTTCTCCATTCACACGCATCTATGATCAATCTACCTTACACAGATTTTGAAATAAACAAAACCAACCTTTGAGTTTTTGATGCGCACACAAATGTTACACCATAAGTGCACGGGTTAATACACAGTATATTGGTGTGTTAAGGTCAATTTCATGAAAAATTAAGTAAATTATTGATTAAGTATAATGTTTTTACTTTGTTGAGCAAAACAAAATTTAATTTTAATTTTTTATAAAATAAAAATTGAAGTTATGTAAATGTATTAAAATAAAAGGTACACCAATTATAAAAAATTAAGACAACCTAAGGTGGTTAATCCCTTCTTTAATTCATAGAGTATGAAATTATTTAAATAAATTCACTTAATATTAATTCGTTAATCTAAAGTATCAATAGGAATAATTATTTTCTGATTAATTACACCCCTATTTTGAATTAAATATGTTACTTTTAACACAAATACTCAATAGGCAAAAGCACAAATTCATTGTAATGTGATTATATGGGTCTAATAGGTATATTTCTATCTTATTAAAAAATTAGAATAAATTCTAATCCTACTTTATTCACTCTAATGGTTTAATTTAAATTTTTCTTTTTCACGGCAAAACCCAAACCCCCAAATTCATACTCAATGATGGTCAAGCATTAAATAGACAAATAAGTACAAGATTAAGTAAATAAAACTAATATTAAGCTCAAATAAATAGTCCAAATATACTCTAATCCAAGAATTAATTCTTAACTACCCTAAACCCATAGCTCTAATTAATGACAGCAAATATCAGTAATATATACATAAAACTAAAAAGAAGAAATACTTAATTTGAGCAATCTTAAGGTAAACACTTGATTCTCTACTAAACCTAAGCTTTACCAATCCTTCTTTGAATTTTTTTTTCTCAACTTGGACATTTTATAGCTGCTGGAAGTGGAGATTGGTCGAAAATGAAGTCCCAAAATCTTAAAATTTGCTGAAGAACAAAACTACATATTTTACTAAAATTCATACTTTGTTATAGCAAAACGTGATTTTTCTGTAGCAAGCATGATCGGAGCAAAATTTTTTTTTAAATTTATTTTCTTGAACTTGGGTTTTAAAATTTTTATCTTTGAACTCATAAATTGGGTCACCCTGCATTTATAAAACTTAGAATTAATATTAAAATTAATCCACTAACTTCTAATTATATTTTCATATGCATTTTCACACATAATGATACATTTAATCATATTTTTGCTAATAAATTCAAAAAAATAATTTTCGGTTACATTAAAAATATCAATAAATTTAATAAAATATTGAAATTCATCAATTTCCAATGAGTTGACATGAGATATGGACAACGTTTATTTAGACATGTAAAGCTATAACTTATTAAAACACTAAGTTATTGTTTTCGTAATTTATTAATATGTGAGAGTTAGTTACAAACTGGGAGGTTTAGAAATTCATATTTGATATGAACCTAAGTAAACTTGTTATTTAACTAACATTTAATTGCCAGTTTATAAAAAAAAAAAGATCAAATCTATATAAGTTTTCAAATCTCCCAATTTGTTACGAACCTTCATTTATTAACAAATTACTAAATTAATGATAAATTTAGTTGAAATTTTAATATGCTGACAAGCGACTCTCGTGAATTTGACAAATAAAAACTACTCATGTGATAAATCCGATAAACGTTTAAACAAGTTCTATTTGATTTTATAAAAAATTTACTTGGAACCCCACTTCACATCCCTTCACATGATTGGCACATTTCTGAACATGTTTCCTCCCAGGGAACATGTTCACATGGTAAGCACGTTAGTGGGGACAAAAAAAACAAGAAGATGATCTCAGTTATTGAGGGAACATGTTCACATGGTAAGCACGTTAGTGGGGAAAAAAAACAAGAAGATGATCTCAGTTATTGAGGGAACATGTTCACATGGTAAGCACGTTAGTGGGGAAAGAAAACAAGATGATGATCTCAGTTATTATAAAGTACTCCCTCCGGTTATAAAATATATTTTAAAAAATTTATTTAATCTCATTAATAAATTATGATATAATTTTTTAGATAATATTTAAAACGTATTTTTAAAGTTAACCTTCATGAGAAGAAAAAAAATCATTTTTTAAATTTGTTATATAGAAGTATATTTAAAATTTTATATATTTTTATTTATTGTACTTTTTTTACATTAATATTAATGAGATTGATAGAAATAACTTATAAAGAGGACTGCAGAAATATCTTATAAAAATATAAAATTATTTTTTTATTTTTAAGTTTTAATGATATTTTAAAAACTTGAGAAAGTATGTAAGATAGCTCATAAATACTAAAGCAGCCCTCTTATGTTTTCATTTACTATATTTTCATACTAATATTTATGTCCGTTTAATTAATAATGGTAAAATTATAAAATAGTTTTTCTCAATCTACATGGAAAATATAAGTTTGGGATCTCGTGCTTCTCTTTAACGTTTTTTTGTAATACCTCACTTTTTAGGTTTTTTTAATTAATTTTTACATAAAATAAGAGATATTTTGATATATTAAGGTGTCTAAATCATCTAGTTTTGTATTTTTTTATGATTTCAAAAAGAAATACTATAAAATTTTGAAAAATAATAAAAATTTCAAAACCTTCCTGTTTTCAAATATAGTAAGAATTTTAAAATAGTAAAAATAGAAAAATCAGCATCCTCTTCTCTCTGCTATGTTATTATCCCAAGAACCCCAGGACTTGCTGCAAGCTTACTCTCAAATATAGGCAATCTCACCATCTTCACTTCATCTTCTGGCTAGTTGGTTTCTTTACGAACATGGCAGCAGAAAAATCAGAAGCCGCTAATGCTGTTTCACTAGTGCAGCACTTCTTCAAACAAGACGAAGAGTTATCCCAGGAATGCCAAAATCTCATTACGACCTTACCCACGGAATCAGATTGGTTTTCAGTCCAGATCTACCAATACCAAGGTTTCTGGCACATGAAGAGCCTCATTCAAGGAATCCTCAATTGCCAGAACCACTTCCAAGCCCATGACTCAGACATTCTCATTGTCACGCCGCTAAAATGTGGCACCACTTGGCTCAAAGCCCTCGTTTTCTCCATCCTCAACCGCAAGAATGCATATAATATGAACCCGAATCTCGACCCCACTCGAACCAGTATTGAACCACACCCTCTTCTCTCTGCCAACCCTCATGTTCTGGTGCCAAATCTTGAGTTTGATCTCTATTTTAACACTACCAATCCTGATCTGAGCTCATTCCAATCACCAAGGCTCCTTTCTAGCCATCTACCATACGTTTCGTTGCCAGAGTCAGTAAAACAGTCAAGATGTAAGATAGTGTACTTGTGTCGAAACCCTAAGGATGTGTTCGTGTCGCTCTGGCACTTCATGAATAGATTAAGGCCAGAGGTTGAAGAGTTGAACACAATGGAGTATTTGTTTGAGAAGTTTTGTCGAGGAGTGACTTTTTTTGGGCCATTTTGGGATCATGTGTTGGGGTACTACAAGGAGAGTTTGGAGAGGCCAGAGAGGATAATGTTTTTAAAGTATAAGGAGCTTAAGAGTGAGCCAGTTAGGGTTTTGAAGGACTTGGGAAAATTTATAGGGTATACTTTCTCTGAGAAAGAAGAGAATAATGGTGATGTTGTGGGTGATATATTAAGGCTTTGTAGTTTTGAGAGTTTGAGAAATTTGGAAGTGAATAAAAGCGGAAAATTGGATTCTGGGGTAGAAAATAAGGCTTATTTCAGACGTGGAGAAGTTGGAGATTGGAAGAATTTTTTCACAATTGACATGATCAAACAGATTGAGGCTATTACTGAAGACAAGTTTGGAAAACATGGCTTGAAGTTTTAGACCAACATGATCCTTGCAGTCCACTCAAAATATTAAGGTTCAAGATTTTCTATTATTTATTATTACTTTAAGCTCCTGTCTAGTTGGATTCTTTCTTCTTCCTCCCTTCCCCTCTTCGCTCCCTCTCCCCCTTCCTTCACCTCCCCTTTCCTACCCTCCATTAAAATTCCTTTCCTCCCTTCCCTTCCAACCGAACATAGTGTAAATAATAGACATTTGTAAATATTAAAATTAGATTAGTAGTTAATAGTTAATTTTTCATCAGAAGATTAGTGAATAGTAACTATATAAGCAACTATCTATTATAGTTATTGGAAATTACACTACTTAAAAATTAAAATCTACAAATCCTAAATTATACTACGTGTTACTATGTATTCCCATTTGATGTGTTATAAATAACGATGGTTGTCTGCATGCGGGTACGTGTATCCTGAAGCTGGAAGACGAATTACCATTCAGTACAATAATCATGATCACATTCGCTTTGTTATTCCTCCTTCACTGTACCTTAGAGTTTTAATTTAATTACTGTATGATGTTTGATGCCTCGGTGTTAGAAGGCTTTAATTTGTTGGATCAGGTACAATTATGTGTAGCAATTCCATGAGAATTAAATATCATTTCTCCCTTCATGTTGATGCTTCAGCTTCTTATGTACGGTGCAATCATGATTTAGAGGACTTCCTTCATGCACTACAAAAAATATGAATTTTGATAGTAAAAGTCGTCACTAAAAATTTATTTTTGGCAACAAAAAAATCTACTTTTGGTGGCGACAAATTAAATTTGCTACCAAAAGTCACCACCAAAACTATATTTTTGATAGCCATAATTAAATGCCGCCCCAAAAAGTAAGATGATTTTGATTTGTCGCCTCTAAAAATTTATTTTTGGTCGTGACATTTATCAACACCAAAAAAAATTTTTATAAAAAATAATTTAAAATTTTAAAATAATTTATATAATTCACTTTTGGTGGCAACATTTATCGTTATCAAAAGTATTTTTATAAAAAAATAATTTAAAAATTTAAAATAATTAATATAATTCACTTTTGGTGATGACATTTGTCGTCACCAAAAGTATTTTTTATAAAAAATAATTTAAAAATAAAAAAATTTATATAATTCACTTTTGGCATTGGGATGTTAAAGTTATACAAATTAAAATCTTGATGGGTCATTACTTTTAATTATAATTAGGTTAAGTTATACATAAATTATTACTTACAATCAAATACATAAATGGCATTGGGATGTTAAAGTTGTACAAATGTCATAAAATACAAATGATATTATAGACTATTTAGCATATTGCATACTTGATACTTAGCTTGATATATATATATATATATATATATATATGGTGTCTACTTCTTCTACTAAACTCAAATGACTTTTGGATAAGGATTTCATGTAATTCCTCCTAGTATATTTAGGTTTCCATTGCTATAAAAAAGAAGTTACTAACAATATTTTTATAACTAATTATTACTAAGAATAATATGAATAACTATTCAAATCCACCTTGCTATGAGGTTGAGGATGATTAGATATTAACTAGATTGATCACATATGATATTCTTGTAATTATCATATATTTTAAAAGTTATTAGTATTCATTTTCAAAATTATTCAAATGACTATTAATAAAATTTATGTGGTTAAAATTAATTTGTTATTAAAATAATTTTTTAAGATATTGAAAAATTATCGATAAAATATAGCTTTAATAAAAGAGGGGGAACATTTAGCTATTTTGAGAGAAGATAAAAATTTAATAATTTAGTTTATCAATTTTTGAGAAAAATATGGAGAAGAAAAAAGTAAAAGATATTTAACATAAAATAATATAATACATATTTATAAATAAATTACATACTTAATAATTTTTATTTAAAAAATAAAAATATAATTTAAAAATTGATTACAATGTATATAAGAATATTATTTAATATTTAAAAATTGTTTATTTTAAGTTCATTTTCCTAACAAAAATAATATTTACTGGTGAAAAATAATATTTTATTAAAATTATAATTTAAATATTCATATAAATCATTTTGTCATATTAATAATTGAAAATAAAATATAATATATGTATATATTTTTAATAATATATTATTTAATATATGTGCATATAGTTACATAACATATTTAATTTCACATATAATAACTGCAGGTGTATTTCAATTTAATTGGCAAAGAAAGGAGGCTTAAGGTTTGGAGGTGGGAGAGGCTAAGGGTTCAAACCTTGGCTTTATCATATTTTACAACAAATATGTGACGTGGTGCGTGGTGGCGGCGTAGCATATGAGGTGGCTTGAGGGGGCACACATGTGGTAGGTGACGTGGCATGAGATGGTAGTGTGGCACATGAGGTGGCTTGAGGAAGTGCACATGTTGCATGTAACATAGCATGAGATGGCTAAGTGATGTAACATCATCTGTCGAACACATGGCCTGTGACGTGGCACAAGATAGAAAATGACGTGGCATCATCTGTTGCATATATGACAGGTGACGTGACATCATTTGATGCACATGTGGCAAAGTGATGTGGCATAAAATAAATTATTATTTTTTTAAAAAAAAAGTTTTGGTGGCGACAAATGTCACCACTAAAAGTCCTTTTGGCGACGATATTTGTTGCCACCAAAAATACTTTTAATGACAAAAAATCTTTGGTAATGACATTTGTCACCGTTAAAAGTTTATTTATTGTCGCCGCCAAAAACTATTAGCAACAATTGTCATAGCGACGATCTTTTAACGGTGAAAAATCACTACTAAAAACTTTTAACGGCGACTTTTGGACTTTCGGCCTTAACTTTTTGTCACCACCAAAAATCTATTTTTTTGTAGTGATGTTTTATGAGAGTGTGATGAGGTTAAGTTACTGTGGCTTTCTATTATAAAACCGAGTCTTATCTCAAGTTTTAGTTGTAACCTGTGGAATTGGTGCTCTATGAACATCAACGCAACGGTGGGGCATGATGTATATAATTGGAAGGAATTATTTGTGGTTACTTGCTAGCTCCTCTAGAAACGAAGAAATGAAAGAATTTTTGAAAATATCATTACTGCCCGTCAACAAATCAATATGAAGGCTAAAGCTATTGTTTATAGCTATAAGGATGCCCGTTTAAGCTTGTGACAAGTTAAGTTTCATGGAGCCACGAGGAATGAGGGGAACCTTAGTATGCTTAAGGTTGGATTATGATACATGTTGATGGAGCCTATTCTCATTTCAGTGCGGAGACGAGCTATGGGTGTATCATTAGAGATCATCAGCAACCTCCTTTTGAATCTTTTATGCTTAAACTCTCGGAAGGGGACCCTCTTATGGTTGATCTTTGGGCTTGTCTTATTGGGCTTTGTTGAGCTGTCGACACGGGCCATCGAATGGTCTGTCTGAGAAGTGACTCTCTAGAGGCCCTTAATTTGATCAAGGATGGAAACAGGGATGTTCATGATAATTGGAACTTGATCCATGAATGCCACAACATGTTGTCTCATGATTGGACAGTTAAGCTTGGATATGTTTGAAGATATGAACATGTGGAAGTTGATTATTTTGCAAAACGAGCACTGGCACTAGCACTAGCACTGCCTCTTGGTCTTCATTTTTTACCGATTGAGGATCTTAGTTTTCTTTCTTGCATAGTAGAGTAGCTGATTTTAGCTTTTCTTCGTTTATTTTTTAAAAAAATGTAGCTAACCTTTGCCATATCAAAAATAGATTTCTAATATTGCATGACAAGCTAATATTGATTGTTTCTCTAAAAGTTAGCATCCTATAACATATATACCGTAGAACTATCTTTCTAGAATTTCTACGGTGATTTTGAAAGTGATGCCTCCAAGTTAAAATTTCATTGGAACTATAAAAAAATCATTTTTTATTTCTCTCAACAGTAGCATAGAAAATTACCTTGTTCATCGCATAATGTGATTCTGGTTGCTGATTGATTGATGGCTGTATATGTGGGGCAATGCAGGCAATAAATATTTCTTATTTCTCTTAAAAGGAGTCTATTTCAATTGTTTAGTCATGCATGATAATGCATTTTTTCTATCTGAAAGTAGGGTGCATATACATTAAGTGATGTTAATCTTTTCACTACCCTGGAATTGGGATTCTTTGCCCATTTTGATGAGCTTGTTTAAAACATTTCAAACTTAATTTTGTGTTCTTAATCGTTCAATCACCTAATTCATTATTTTCGTACCATTAGAATGCCTTTAATTTGGAATCTATTATAGACATTTTGCATTTTTATTTGGAAAGATGTTATATGCATGATTGTTTTAAGATTGATTTTTCCTGTGTGCATCACTCTGGTTCTATAGTCCCCAGTTCTAATTGTTTTATTTTGTATTGAATGTTTAGAAAATTATTCTTAAATAATCATGTATCAATTTCACGTGAAAATCAACATAGGTTGCACCACTACACTACCAACTTTCAACTTTTTTGAGTAACCTATCAAATAGCATGAGTGTATGTTCTAAGAAGATGATAGATAATTAGTAATTCTAAGTTAATCTTTTGAAAAGAATTGTAGAGTTAGTGGCTTGCATATCTTAATTGCCATGCGTTAGAAATTTATACGTGGGCTTACACTGATTGTTTTTGTTTATATGTGAAAACAGATTAATCAGTGGTCCTACCAGAAATTTTAAAGCCCAATTTATGTGATATGATCACATAATTAATGGGCCTGACACACAATCTATTGCTAAACTCCCCTCTTTAACTCTAACTTGGGTTTTTACCAAAAAAAAAAAAGTTGCATAACTCTCAAACCTCAAGGCAAATAAACAAGAAGACATAGGTTGACTAGCTCATGTAGCTTGGCGACTATAATCGAATCAAGTATGCAACTCAAACTTATGCATTTGTTTAGTTTCTTATCACATACACTAGATTTGCCTTATCTAATGTATTAATTAAATCTTACACAATATGTTCATATTTTACTTCTATTTGGTTCAAATTAAGCAAACGTGTAAAATTAATACTTAATCAAAGTATTTGCATTGAGTTCTTGTTAGAATGATATTCCACTCATCAATTTGATACGATAATCCTTGCACTTGCAGTACCACGTTGGAAACCCAAGTCTAATTGGATAATACACTTTTATTTAATGAGCCATATGGCCATATTTAGTACATAACATGGGCAATGCCTCATAGTCAGACTGAGGAAACAAACTTGGGCTATCAGACTTTATATAACCCAACAATCAAATCAAGAAAACAAGAAAGTACACACAAGTAAAAACACATGATAAACTTATACTAAAAGGACTAAAAAAATACATCTGAGCCTATATAAAAAGACATCCAAACCCATATGGAGTTTGGACAAGGGGAAATTATTCTCAACACTCCTCTTCAAGTTAGACTTGAAAATATTTAGGGTACCCAAATTGGACAATAATCTATCATGACTCTTTTTCTCAAGAGACTTTGTTACTATATCTACCAGCCCTTCTCCACATGTCATATGCTTTAAAGAAATCAATGGCTTGTTTGAAACTTTTTTTGTTTTATTCTTTTAAGAACTGATATTTTATAGATTATATTCTGAGAACAAAAAAATAAAAATAAAAATAGGTGTTTTTCTCATTCTCCCTTATTTTTCAAAACAATAATCCCAAAACGCCTAACAAATGTTTACATTTTTCTATTTTCTAGAATAATAATTTATTCTTTATTTTTTTATTCACCAAAATACTTTTTGAAAACATGTTACTAATTTTTTTTTTGTTCTAAAGACAAAAAATTGTTTTCAAAACAGATTGCCAAACAAGCCCCAAGCCTTCCCACAACCTTTCTCACACAAAATGACAGTCGATCTCTATGTGATTCGTTCTTTTGTGATAGATTAGATTTGAAGCTATTTGTATTGCAGCCTTGCTGTCACAGTACACAGAAACAAGAGTTAAATCAGCAATATACAATTTTTTCAATAAACCATTCAACCAAATAATCTCAAAAACAATACTCCCCAAGGCCTTATACTTTGTCTCAGTAGAGGGTCTTGAGACAATGAACTATTTCTTAAATTTCCATGCAATGAGAGCTCCTTCTTACTTGATTAGATACCCTGTGACAAACCTACGAGTCAAGCTAAGAGGCCCATTCAAAATCACTATATCCTTCTAATTTCATGTTACTTGAAGAAGGAAAATATATATCTTTACCTCAGTCCTTTTCCAAATATTTCAAAGTATTCAAAGTAGCTTTAAGATGGGATTTTTCTCAAAATTTGCATGAATTGACTCAATAATTAGACAATATAACTAATATTAGGCCTAGTAGTAGTCAAATATAATACTTTTCCTATTAGACACCTATATCTAGATGGATCAACTAATAAATTTCTTTCTCCCCCTTTCTAGGAAGACTGTAAAGCTTTAAACCTGGATTCATTGGCATATTCCTAGATCTATAAGCACCAAGTCTTGTGGTGGAAATTAAATCTAAGGCATATTTTCATTTATTAAGAATCAAGCCTTTGTCAAACTTGGCAATCTTCATTCCTAGAAAATATTTCAATTAACCTAAGACTTTCATTTTAAAATTGTTGTGCAAATATCTCTTTGTTTCTTTTATTCCTCTATTACTATTTCTAGTTATGACTATATCATCTACATATGCTAATACAATAGTAAACTCATTTTCATGTCATTGAGTAAATAAAAAATAATTAAATTTACTTTGCACAAAACCTCCAGCAAGAAGGGCCTCACAAAGTTTTGTATTTTTACTGTTGTGTAGCTTGCTTCAACCCATAAAGGGACTTAGTCTTCACACCTTCTTCTCTCCTTTCTTGTTAAATCCTAGAGGGATTTTCATATAGACATCGCCATTGAGATCTCTCTACAAGAAAGCATTGTCAGCATCCATTTGAAATCCCAAAAATTTCTAGCAATTTTAGATAACACAAAACACACAATATTCATTTTAACAATAGGTGAAAAAGTCTTAGAATAATCAGTGCCTTCTATTTGACTATAACCTTTAACAACAAGTGTCACACCCTGGTCCTAAAGCTATGAATGGCATAAAATATGAGATAAACTCACATTCCATTAGTCTTAATTAATCAGAGATTAAGCTAAAATATCGATAAATAATTTATATATATACAGTTATAAAATTTATAAAGTCTTAAACATTTTGTAAAAATTTTAACAGAGTCTTCCTTGTAATTTGAACTTCCTAAAATTTCTACAATAGCAAAACCTATCAACTAATCCAAAAAGGAGCTTATCTCCATACCAGCAGAATTCATAATAACAAAATATGACTAGGACTTAACTACGGTATATGTGGAGCATTAAATTATAATTGTATAATATAATATATAATTACATCAATTTAAATAGTCAATGTGTGCTTCCACATTCCAAAAAGTAATTGTGCCCCTTAATGATTAGCAGGAGGTGCAGGGTCAGCTTCAATATCTGAAACCAAAAAATTTTTTTCTGATGAGTAGCATCTCAATTAAAATTTTAGATAAATCATGTAAAAGTAGTAATTA